CCTTTAGTCCTTTTGGTATGATGTCCATCTGCTTGCATTTGGAAAGGAAGATGATGTCTGTCTGTATCTGTACGAGTCCTGCTGTATCTTAAAGAACTTTGCACTACCCTCTCCTGCCTTGCACCACACAATGGTTAGCTGCAGGAAAGGAACCACGTTAGTAAATACAAAACTCAGATTTGCAGCCAAGAACTTAGAAGCACGTCATTCTCAATGAAGTTTACCTGTTTGCTTTGGTCTAAGACCTGAAAGTTGTTGGCACTAGCTGAACACCTGCAATTCCATAGGTGCCCCCTCCTCAGGTTTCCCTTGAGTGTGGAAAAAGGGCAGGACTTTTATGCTTCTCCTTTCCAGGCATGTCTGGTCTACACACAGTTTTTGTATCAATTTAATGATTTCAGTCAGGGATGTGATTTTTTTCCTCTACCAAAATAGTTGAATCACAACTGCATTAGGGCAATAATCAACACAAAAACATTTCCTGTTATCTGAGTGTCATTGCTACTGCCGTAATGCTCAGAACAGCGTTGGCTAGGATACCATCAATGTCACATTACATTTCATAGCTGCAATAAGCCATCTTCTGGCTAATGTTTTTGGGGTAATGAACCACCCACATAGGTTAAGAGATGGGCAAAGAAACTATCACGCTGTCGGGAGGGGCTCAAGAGTGTGATTGCCTGTCTCAGGGCAGACTGTCAAAAACAGGGCAGACACCCCAAACTGGTGGTGTGTTTTATAAGCCGATTTCACCAAGCCAGTAACTAATGTGAACTCCTGGACAGGAGTGCTGGAACCTCAGTAGACGTGTATGGGACGGCATGAGGCTCTGCCCCCTCTGTGGCCCTACCTCTCCTCTCCTCTTCCCCCGAGGCCCTGCCCTCTTTGTGCCTCCACCGCCTGCTCCTTCTCTTTCCCCTGAGGCCCTTCCCCAGGCCAGGCTGGAAGCCCAAGCCTGGCTTTGGTAAGAGCCACCCAAGGAGCCCGGGCCACTGTGGGGAGTGCCCTGGCCCCCCCGTTCCAGCACCCCTGCTCCTGGATCACTGTAACAGTCTTACCATGGAGTCTCAGACAGTCCCCTTAGAATCTCCAGTCTATTTTGCCACCCAGACAAACTGGACTTACTGATAAATGGTCACCAAAAAAATCACACCACATTCAGATTATTTCCAGTCCCAAGAGACCAGTCACTTACCCCAGATCAGTTGGTACCCTAGATCTTACAGCAAAGACAACACCTGTAGCTAGTCCTGTAATAAATGATCTAAAGGTTTGTTAACTAGGAAAAAGAAATAACAGAGTTATTTGCAGGTTCAAGCAAGCAAACGTCTACACACAAATGAGTTCTCATCTAAAACCTAAGAGTGACCGAGTTGCAGTGATCTGTCTATTCAAAGTGTCTTTCAGGGCGGACCCAGCAGGCAGCCCTGGGGAACTCTCGCCGTGTCAGAGTTCAGACAGCCAAACAGATGGAAAATTTTCCTGTGACTTTGTTTTATTTCCTTCATTCAGCTTCCAAGTCCACGGAACAGGCTTCCTTGCACATGGCATTTCCAAGGTGGGATAGGCCCATTAGCCAATCCTTTGTTTGCAATATTCCTTGATGACCCAGCTGATTTTGACAGTCCTTCGCAATGGGGTGAAGGAGGATTCCTGTGCCTGGGTTCACAAGTTCAGAGCAGCCATTTGCAAAGTTATAAAGCAAAACTTACATATTTTCTTACGGCGTGGAACAGAGACATTGCAAGTGAGATTAATGCCTGCAGCAACTCACAAGCATTTCACAGAGTCTAAACACCAAATACAGTCTTGTAAGACTAATACTTATTTTGAGCAAACTAACATACAGGTGAACTGGTCTGGTCTCAAGCGATGAGTCTGTTAGTTCTTAGCTAATGCCTGCAGCCTGGGCAAGGGCTGGCACCTCATTTGCAAGCATCACAGCAAACGCCCTCCACCGCCCCCAATCCCTTATGTCAGTAATTTTTATTTTGTGTGTATCTGTAGCCAGCACTACTACACCCTCTGTGATTTCATAAACTAAGCAAGGTTGGGCCTGGTCAGTACTTGAATGGGATATCTCCTGTGCAAAGCCATGTGCTGCAGGAATTAGTGTAGAAGGCTCTCTGGGTCGGTGGTTAAACCAGTGCCACACCATGGTTTTAAGGAACAATGTACGCTTGGGTCAGTTATCCTGGAAGACACCAAAAGAGATCCTGACCGCTGGTAGTTGTTAAAGACCACACGACACTTTCACAAGATCCCTGGCCAAATTTAAACTTGGTTAGTTACGTTCTGTTGACATAAACTCTTCCTGCACCTTCAGCTGACAAAGGTGGTATTCTTCTCTCCCTGTGTAAGTGGCTGTGTAGTGCTGCTGTGAGTTGTTCCACTCCAGAAGTGGCTGCACATCAGTGATTAGCTAACAAGCCCAATAGAGAGCTCTGAGATCCTTCTAAGTTAGAAAGCGTACAGAAATGCAAGATGATATTTTTCAGGCTTGCTTTCCAGCAAATTGAAGTGTCATCTGGCTTCTAACAATTTATTTTCCCTTTTTCTTTTCTTGGCAGCTGAGTAAAAAATATGGAAATGTCTTTAGTCTTCAGAACTGCTGGAGTAATCTGATAGTATTGAATGGATTCAAAGCAGTAAAGGAAGCATTGGTCCAGAAATCAGAGGACTTTGCTGACCGACCATACTTTCCTATATATGAGCACTTGGGTTATGGAGAGAACTCCGAAGGCAAGTACCTTGGAAACTACCATAGTTTTCTGGCAGTGTTGCAGGGGGACTGGCTTTATCATTTGAGCTCCTGGAGAGGTTAAAGGGGACTTAAGGAGTGAACTGCCTCCTCTCTCGTCCCCCTGCTGATGTTGCTTTTGCTGAAGTCTTCCCCTGACACTACGTCTCG